GCCGTCCTGATTCTGAATCGGGGCAGCCGGATTCCGAATCGGGCGGATTCCAAATCCGGGTACAACATATATATATACTCTAAATGAATGCACTGACTATGCACTGACCCAGTTATAGTTACTCACCACAGTAAAAAATTTGAATAAAGATAAAATGAATTCAGATAAATTCTCTATAATGCATGCATACTTTAATGTCTAATTAGTCACATGGCCCAAAAGAATGTATTTTAAGAGTAACCATATTTGGCTTTTGACTAAAAAAAAGTGATAAAGTTTGTTTAAACAATTCTTAATGTATTATAATCTCAAATTTTTAGTTGTCTAAATTTATGTTTTCTTTACACAATTTTATGATCTTCATTTAAAAATTATAAAAAATATTAATGTTTGTCAATACTATACAAAAATTTCAAACTTATATATAAAAATACCTGTTCACAAATCTCATTAATTTTGGTAAAACTTGGATCTTGTGGATCATTATTTTTTGAAATTATTACTTGAGTGTATTCAAAAAATATTTTTGCAACTTCAGACATACTTGTACATCTGAAGGCAAGCTATAAAATCAGATTATAATTATTATAAATCATCTAACAACAAAATAGTAACTAGATATATTTCCTGCAAATTTAAGTTCAAAATCATTAGACATACCTTGGCACCTTCTCCTTTCCTAATTTTTACGACTTTCTTATAAGAATCATAATTTTTAAAAGTAAATGCTAAAGTACTATATCCTATGACAAGTGGTGTTGCAGCAAAAGAAAAAATACCAGGATCGTCGAGTTGAGCTAAATAACTCAAACAATCAGATACATGGTGTAAAGTGTTTAACACAATAGCGGAAAGGCAATTTAAGGCTTTTTGCCTGTTTTCTATAAGAACTAAGTCTTCAATTTCTGAAACATATTGATGCCAAATTTCTTTTGGCCAGAACCTTCGTTTTTCACTCAGATCCTCCACAAAATCTCGAAGTATGTTTAATTTTTGTAGAAAAATTCCCATTGATATAATGCTAAATTAATAATTTGACATTTGTATAGTAAAAAAAAAAAACCTAACAAAAAAAAAAATACTACTGAGCATTATATGTAAACTTACGTATTAAAATTTTTTGTTGTATCAGGAATTATTGCACCAACAGAGTTAAACAGATCACTTATACCAATTCCAACGAGTCCAGCAACATAATAACAGTACTTATCAAACTCTTGTAATGTGATTATGCTATATTTATCACGAGCTGAAATCGATACAAAATCTGCCATACCATTGCCCATTTGTTTAGTAATATTTGCAATGATTGCCTGGCACCTAAAGAAAACATAATACGTAAGTGCCCAAGTAATTATATATTATGAATGAATAATAAAGAAGAACATACTCTTGTGGAAGAAGCAAAAATTCCTCAATAACAACATCAAATTCTACAAGCAATTGTCTATCCTTTTCATCGGGACCATCTAAATAAATAAATAAATGAAATTTACTGTCAAATACAGTATGTTAAAAAAGCCTTTGGACAACTTCACGTGAAAATCACGTTTTTCGGGATAATCTGACGATCTTTTTTTATTGCCTTGTCTAAATTTTTCGCAACATAACTATCCGCTAAAGTCATATTATATTTGTGGAATAACGGTACATGTACCGCCAAGGAAATAACGCAGTAAACGGGCCTCTCCAGGTCCACAATATGTTGTACACTTTCAAAAATAAAAAAATATGGAGACGTGGCCCATCGGCCGTCCTAAAAAAATTACCTCCGCACTTTCCAAGCCCTATTTCAGTATATGGGCTGCTGTCAATAGAAGTCAAGCAGATTGACATTTTAAACGTTTAATGCCTCAACTTTCATGACTCATATCTCGGTAAATTTTAAAGCTAATTTGATGATTTAATATTCAAAAAAAAATCTAAAATTTTTTTGATAATTGAATTATTAAAATAGTTTCAAAATTCATTGAGATATGAACTGTGAAAGTTATGAATTTTTTTAAAATGTAAATCTACTTGATTTCTATTGAAGCAAGCCATATTATAAAGGATCCTGCAATAACTTTGGCTGCAAACATTATTAGACAAATGTGTCAACGTAACTCATGCAACAGTTTGTAATCATTTAAATCATCTTGGGTACAAAGAAAATCGGGCCGAAGAAACCCGATGCTAACAAAACATATTAAAGCTCGTATTGCTTGGGCAGAGAAACATTCCAATGATAACTAGGAAAATACTGTTTTTTCTGATGAAACTTTAGACTGTATAGTAATACCATCCAGTATTGGCACAGGGGAAAACGTCCAGTTTGAAGGATTTCAAAGAGACAAAATTTGTGCCTGGGGCGCTTTTTGGGCAAGAGGTAAAATCAAACTTTTTTGTTTCCGTCAAAATATGGATGGCCACCTTTATACAAAAATCTTGAAGAAACACGTTCCTGCTTGGTGATCGTTGGAGGTTCCAATCGGACAACGATCTCAAACACCGAAGCCGGGAGCCAAAAATTCATTAAAAAAAATATATTCCTTCAATAGTCGATTGGCTCTCTAATAGTCCCAATTTAAATCATCTAAAGAATCTGTGGGAAATTGTTGAGACTAACGTTGAGAAGCGTCGCAATGGAGGAATGGGATAAAATCCTAATTGATACTTTAAAAAATTTAATATATTCCATGTCTGAACGATGTAGGCTTGTTCTTACTGTAAAAGGAAATCGCATCCCTTATTAAAATTTTTTTATAAATCAAATTTTTAGTCTTTTGGCCATATTTTGGGTTTGATTCTCGTTCGGCCAATCTCACGTGATTATCCCGTGAAGTTGTCTAAAGACTTTTTTAACATACTGTATATAAAATAAAAATGAACAAATAACTAGTGTTCGACCGACATAAACAAGCAAAAAATTGATAGTCAAATACTTACGGTTAAATTGAACATTAAATGATCATAGATCAAATCAGTTAAATATATGTATATACGTATGTTGTAAGTGGGAACGGGATTTTAGATTTATATAAGCCCTATACCCTACCCTAAAATTCCAAATCCACTTAAATTCCGTTCCTACTTACTACATATAACTGATTTGATCTATGATTATTTGACGTCCGACCTAATCACAAGTATTTGACTATCGAGTTCCTGCTTGATTTTATCGAGTACTACAAATAACTTACTTTCAGTATATGTCCAACCTCTCTCACTGATATTTTTGTAAAAAGATCTCAACAACGGCGCCTTTTGTTCAATAGGTAAAGTCATGTCATCCTCTATTGTATCCATTCCACGTAAACATAAATAAAATATACAAACCTGTAATGAAGATTCAAATTATAAATATTTTTGCTTAAGTTCCAGTGATGGTCTTTTGAAACTTACAAGATCACGAAGTTTTGGATCTAAATCCATTATAATATTTGCAAATGAACCTGATGTCAGTTTTAAAAAATGATAACACCGTTGCTTTGCCTGACTCGAAGTAGAAATATCCACTATATTTGATTGTCTGAAAAGTTGATACCTTACAAGAGCAATCAGTTCTGAAGGATAGAAAAGTGATTCAATAAAGTTAGATAACATAGTTGAATAAGTCAGAATAATTTAAATTTCTATTGTTATAGGTGTGTGTTTGTAAGTAGTGTGGATAAATACAAATGGAGAAAGAAAAGTGTTTAGGTTGATTCGACTCTGCAATTTATTGTACATGATATAAATTAATTAAAATTCTATTTTTGGAGTAATGATAAGCGTGCGTTACAAACTAAGATCACCAGATCTTGAGTAGATTAGAGGGTCCACCAAAATTCAGCAAATCGGTCCGAATTTGGGTCGGAATAGGCCGGAGTTAATAAATTTTTTCTAAAATCACCCAAAATTTTACTAATAAAGTGGCAACCTATGCACTAAGTAAAGCTGCCCAAATGATAATTTTGCTATAATATAGTCGGCCGGTATTATTGCTTAATGTCACTTTGATCCGGCCCATCCCTGACCCTAAATTCGGGCCGATTTGCTGAATTTTGGTGGACCCACTAATCTATTCCCAGATCTTACCGTTACATCACCGTTAATATAAAATTGCGCAGTGCACTAAGTTAGAATAGATTAGCGTTAGTGGAGCAACCAAAATTCAGCAGATCGACCAAATTTAGGATCGGATTAGGCCGGAGTTGATAAATTTCTCCCCAAATCACACAAAATTTTACTAATGAAATGACTCGTATTATTACTTAATGCCGGCCTAGCTCCGGACCTATTCCGACCCTAGATTTTGGTCGGTCTGCTGAATTTTGATTGCTCCACTCATCTATCCCTAATTTATTTATTGATCTTTCAAACTTCTGGATCCGTCCGGTCCAATAGCTTCTTTTAGTCCGGTCCTCGTCCATAAAACGGTCCTTTGATCACGTGCTTATGTGCTTGTTGGCACAACAATGACCGGCATTACAAAATACTCTTACCCTAACGTTAACTCTAACTACGTATAACTCAGGCCGATGTTGCGTCTATAAGTCACGTGATAAAACCTTGTATCCACGTGATTTTTGAGTGTTAGGATGATTCCTTCCCGACATTTTTTATTAATGTATCAAGACAGGTTTAGACTGCCGTTTTTCATATTTTTTGATTTCTTCGGCCTGATCGGTGATCTACATATAAAAGTCATGTAAGGCTTTAGCGGACCCCCATATAGAGTTTAAGGAATCGGTTTTATTTTTAGATAC